AACCCCTGCTGTGAAAAGCAATATTCACAAAGACGACCATGTTAAAATAAAAAAAAACTTTCTTCATATCAAGCAATCCTGCACAACTGACACAATAAACACACAGCATATAAACACAATAACAACACTTTCATAAACATTGGCTTGTTTGCTTATTAATGAAGACAAAAATTCTGTTCACCACATTCTGTCAATGTTATTAAAGAAAAAAACTGCAACTGATGGATCTCCAAAACTGGCAGAAACTGCCTTTTATGGATGCTGTGAAAAAGGGTTAATTAACTCCCCAAAATCCCAGGCTCATTACATACTAAGGCTAATTATTCAGTAACTATGGGACTTCAGTGCAAACAGGCTGAGCTGTTCTTAAAGAAGTGTGTAATGACACTGTGGTCCTGCCTTTGGGCCTTGACCATTTAAGGGGTTAATAAAGTGGTGTCCAGCACTGAAAGACTGTAGGTGCTTCTCAAACTGTTCTATCAAAACATTTTCTCTTTAACTCAACTGAACTCAACATATGACTTATAACTTAGTCATATATAACTTATTAGTGCTATGTAGGTTTACACAGGGTCAACTGTACAATGAAATGTGCTGGACGAGAAAACAGGTCAGCTCAGCAGTAAGAGCATTAGTCATATAATAAAAACAAAAATGGGACGAGACATAAATCGACTATTACACTATTTATATTTGTGAAGTGAGGATTTATTTAAAAAAGTAAAAGTGTCCAGTGTATACAACAGGAATGAACACTGGGTGTGTGTAATGTAGCAGCAGTCATGGTTGATGTAAGCAGTGCAGTTAACAGTGCAGTGGGCAGTAGACAGTGCAGTGGGCAGTAGACAGTGCAGACAGGAATATTAGATTATGAGCTGAGGAGTCCAGTGTCCTGGTGGTAACACCAATTATTTTATTCTTTTATTAAATATGTGCTTGTTTTTATATTTGTGGTGAAGAACAGAAGATAAAGATAAACTGAGAAGAAGAACAGAATCAAAAAGGCAGAAGAACAGGAGATGTCTATTTGATGGAGTTGGGATGTTTGGGTTGGGTTCTCCTGGCAGTCCTCCTGGTGTCCTTCAGACCGACTGACACTTCCTCACACTCTTTATTCTGATGGACAAATTCGGACTTCATGATGACTCCCAAAACTGAAATCTGATACCTGGTCATATATGCACACATAGCACAAAGGGTCAGGCATACATTTCAGAATATATGTGCATATATGTATGTGTATGTATGTTTTAGGGGTGGGAATCTCTAGGCACCTCACGATTCGATTCGATTACGATTCAGAGGGCTGCGATGCGATTATAAAACGATTATCGATGCATCTTTTTTTTACTATACATCATTTCTATTTTCTCACTGTCTGAGGACTTGGTAGTTTTAAAGCAAAGTATTTGTAATGATCCATAATGAATTTACTTCCAATATCTTTTATTAATAAATCAAATGGAAGTGATGTGGCAAGTGAACTAGAAGGCTCTCATTCACTGCCTTTGGAGCACATGAGACGCTGCTGCCACTCATCTGTGATAAAATGCGCTGTTACGGTGAAATAAGATCCAGTGGCAGTGGATGTCAACGCAGCGCGTTACAGCCGTCCTGCCCCCTTTTAAGTGACTTTATATCTTTGGTTTTGGTCTCGTTGTAGAGAAGGGGGGATCGCTGTGTCAGTAAAATGTCTTTGAGACGGGACGTGTGCAGCATTGCGCGAAAGCCCTGTTTCTCAACGACTGAGAATTGGCGTGCAGACTGCAGGTCACCTAGCAACAATGCGTTATTCGCATTTATAAGCAGCGCAGCTGGTTTCCTGGTATGTAAATCTGCAACGAGAGACTGTCACACACTAAATAGTTACTAAGATGAACTCGCTTCTCTTTCGAATTTTCTCGTTCCACCTTAAAATGGTGCCACATTTACATTCGACGCCTCAGTCAAAATTTAAGGTGGAACAGGAAAAACTGAGCAAGAAGCTGGAGAATAAGAAGTGACTTCAGCCTCGTAAGACAGCCGAATAATGACAAACATTTTACAAGAAACTGCTCTAGTTTTGAGGAAAGGTGTTCTGGCGGAGATGGGAGGAAAGCGGCTAAAGCTGAAGCTTAAAGCAGAGCAAAGTAAATCTGTGCTCTCGTTTATATTGTTCAGCCCATACTAGCACATACTGACACATACTGGACATTAAATGTTGTGGCTCCCGAGGTGGTTTGACTTTGTTGAAAGGTCAAAATGCCTCTTCTTAACATTTGTGCTGTGACTCCTGACCTAACCTGGCTTTAATGCAGAGGGAGCCGGTCGGATTTCTCACTCATCCTGTAGTGTTTTTGTTATGTGCCGCCACAGACTGTCCAGGCGCTGCACTTACCTACTTTCAAGTTCCGCCCTTTGCGTTCCGTCAACATTACGTCATAAATTAATATTTAGAAAATCGATTTTTGACATTTATGAATCGATTCATAATCGTCCACGTCTGCATCGCGATGCATCTAAGAATCGATTTTTTCCCAAACCCCTAGTATGTATATTTATATTAGATGTTCACATCCTATATGGACCATACATATATGTCTGATAGGTGGGTCAACATCAAGCTAGTACATATGAGCAATACATGCCATCCATACATGATTAATGTTTTTTATCAAATATTGTTAAATATATCTGTTACACATATGTTTGTATATGTTGATATTTGGGGCGGCATGGCAAGAAGGGCCTGGGTTCGATTCCCGGCCGGGCGACCGGGGTTGTTTCTGTATGGAGTTTGCATGTTCTCCCCGTGTCTGCGTGGGTTTCCTCCCACTGTCCAAAGACATGCAGTCAGGCCAATTGGACATGCTGAATTGCCCCTAGGTGTGAGTGTGTATGTCTATGTCTATCTGTCTGCCCTGCGATGGACTGGCGACCTGTCCAGGGTGTATCCTGCCTTCCGCCCAATGACAGCTGGGATAGGCTCCAGCACCCCACTGCGACCCAGAAGGATAAGTGGTTTAGATGATGCATGTATGTTGATATTTGACCAAAATAAATTTTCCATATTTGAAAATGGCTAATTTCAAATAAGTTGGCATATATGACACATATATGTCCAAATATGACTAACATAAGCTGGATATAAGGGAGATCCATATATGCTAATGTATGTCATACATCAGAAACCCATATACGGCCATATATCAGCTGCTACTACTAGCAGATACTGAACACCTGCAGAGGCTTTGAGGGAAGCGTGTGATGATTTAGACGTTCAGTTAGCCGTGACTTTGTCTTTCATTGTAATGAGGCCGTGAGGAGAAAACGAGGTTAAACCTGCAGCTCTTTGCTCAGTTTTTAACCACAAACTGTCTTGTGGGACTTTCAGTGGTCACGATTCTCATGACAGCACTGTACTCATAAAACAGCTACTGGCTCTCAGATTTTCAGGCACTCTAGTTAAATATAATAGTTAATCTTTTTGTGCTTCATTCCTGGAACATTTTACCCCATAAAGAGTTTCACAAACCTGAAAACCAGTTTGAAATCAGGCAGGTGGTGCAGGTTAGAAGACAAGAACATGTATTTATTAACACGCTGACTCTGATTTAAATGTTGTAGCTAACAGCTTTCAGAAGGTATTCAGTTTATTAGGAGGCCCTTTTTTTACACTGTTTTACAATACTGTCTAATATTGGAGGGAGACATGCAGGCTGTTATCATATAATATTATATTATATTGTATTTTGTAAAATATTAAATATATAGCCTAAAATGTTATTACATTGTCTGTTATGCATTAGAGTAACAGTGACTGTTGTAGGGAGAACTTAATATTACACAGCCACATAAAATAGGGAAAACAGCTAAAAATACAGCAGAAAATAGCCAAAGATTCACTACAATTCATGATGTTCTATCAACAGATTTGTAAAACAATGTGATATGAACAGTAAACTACAGCTCTCAGTGACATTATTTTTCTTTTGAATACTACAACCACATGGAAAAATGCATGTTCACAAATTGTGTGATCACATGTAAGAAAAACATAATCAAAAGTGAAAAACTGCAAAGTCATGTGAAAAATATGTGATCACATGTTAAAAAATCTGTAATCATGTAGTGATAATGTGGGGAAAAAATATGATCACGTGAATAAAAAACAAATAATCACATGTGAGGGAAAAAACAATCACCTGTGAAAAAATGTCAAAAAAAGGTATGACCTGTGGAAAAACCTGCATGATCACATTATGAAAAAAATGTATGATAACATGAAAAACACATACAGCCACGTGAAAAAAAAACTGCATGATCACATTGTGAAAAGAAAACACATGAATATGTGAAAATAAAAGTATGATCTCATGAAAAAAACGTGATCACACGACAACAGTCATACAAGTTAGAAAATCAATAAACCATGATTTCCAACCAGGGGCACAGATATATTTGCACACAACTGTATAAAGTACAGTGAGGAGATTATTTTTGGTCTCCTGACTCAGATCAGCTCCAGTAACAGTTCACAGGGCATTAAGATAACTACGTCCTGCAAGTGTCTTGATGTGATACAAATGCAAAATTACAATTACAGTATTTACACAGACTTTGCAGTAAGACATAATGTGTTTAACATCTCATAGGACCAACAGACGCGTTTAGTTTTTATTCTACATCTTAATAATTCAGAGTGAGATGCTACAACATGGTGTATTTGAGGACTGGACCGTTAGGGTCATTATGAGTTTGTCTGAAGACTGTAGGCCGGTCACTGGACAAGAGTTTACAGGAAGAGTCTGGAAAGATCAGCGTGTAGTATTTCTTCTACAAGGAGATCATAAATTTGTGCTTTTGAACAGCTGGGTCCAGATATTTATTGCTGTCTGAATAAGGGGGACGGACGTGACCCTCTTCCTGTAAATCTACCACACTCTAATGACGGCTGGTTGAAGCAGAGAGCTGTGAAACTCTGTCTGAGCTGAATAATCTGCACTAACATACAGTGAATCATGAAGTCTCTCCTTTTTCTTACGCTTAGTGTTCATCTGGCAGCAGCAGGTGAGTTCAGTTTAGCTATATAGACAGTAGAGTACAAATCATACTAGTGTTTATTATATTTAAATACTAATTATTATACTATATAATTGTGTAATACTTTGTGTAATACTATTACTAAATACTATATGTGTATTAAACTAAATGATATTAAATAGAACATGTTCATCATAGTTACTTCTTACCATTTTACTGCTTAATTACTATGTCATATGTCATGTTGTGCATCTGAGAAAATCACTAATATTAGAATAAATACAAATAATATTAATACAGTAAGTATTGACTGTATGTAAGTTAATATATTTGTTTTATTATTTCCAAACCTTTGATCGAGGAAGTCTGGTAATTAATCAATTATTAACTATAGTTATCATCCAATACCAGTTTTATCTAATCAATACTTCATTAAATTAAATCAAGTGATCTGTTGAGGAGATTTAATACATTTTTATAATGATATATAAATACATTCATTATATATACATATCTAATGAAGGTAAACAAGTTTAGACATTTTTGTTTTTGTTGTTTAATAAACTTCCAGCACACATATCCACTTCATATCCATTTACACACATAATATCTTTTGAAATTGTAATTATTAATATGAACAAATGAAAAAATGATGTAAAAAGCATAAACTAAAATATGTCTATTAATTGTAAACTGGTAAAAAGTATTCAGACGCCACAAATTTCACTGAGATTAAAGTCAGGAGATTGCTTGCTTGCTTATGAACCAGTCGAGTTATTTTAGCTGTATGTTTGGGATCATTGTCTTATTGAAACATCCATCTTCTCCCCAGATTCAGTTTCTTGGCTGATGAGATTAAATTCCTCTCTAATATCTCCTGGCACATTGCTCCATAGTAAAGCTTCAGTACTGTTTACAGAGACGCAGCCCCTTATCATGGTGCTCCCACCGCCATACTTCACTGTGGCTGCTCTTTAGGTCAAACACCCAACCCTTCAAATATAATGGGCTGTATTATTGCTAAAGAGTTCCATTTTCTTTTTGACAGAGCAGTTTACTGTTCCAAAAAAAACTCTGATTTGTCTAAATGTTTGTGTGCAAATTTTAGACATGCCTCATGTGGTGGGGGTAGGACTGGAGATGATAGCACTGCAGTTTATTACTTGTTCGCTGTTCTGCTGCGTCTTTATCATTAGTCTGAGAGAAATCATGCATGGGGCACCAGTCTGGGGATGAGTAGTTGTGGTTGCTAATCATTTACATGTTGATGAGCTAATTGTACTGATAGGGGTGTTTCTATGTTCTATGCCATGGCAAAGTGGTGTCTGAGTGGCGTTTGAATTTCATTTTTAAACCTGTATTTGTTTATGCTTACATATACATATGTTTTGATATTCATAAGTACAAAGTCGAAATATATTATGTGTGAAAGTTTGCAGTGGTTATATTTGCTGAACATTTATTAAATAACAAAACCAAATACGTGTTTTCCTTTCACGGCATGTCATCGCTGCCAGAATCAAACCTAAAAAGTTAATCGACAGGAGCTGTTATAAGCCTTTTTTGGAACATCTCTGTTGGTCTGTTTTTCTTGAAGTTTTGACACGGTGTAAATGGCAGCTGGGATGTTTAAATAACTGCTCAAAAACCTTGTGTCTCTGTTTTTGTCATTTTCCTTTTTTTTTTGCATAATTTGAAAACTCCAGCTGCCCTTTGCACTGTGTTAAAATTTACAAAAAATCTCAGTGACCAGACCAACCGAAATTGACAGCTACTGATTTTTTTTTTACATAATATTTTGGCACATAATTTCTTATCTTGGTTCACTTACTGTTTACACAAAAGACATTAACGTTAAGGGATTCAACAGTTTAAAGAAATGTAAACTCCTTTTTTATAGCTATGATAAATATCAGCAATGAGAAACAGACTCATTTTTCATCCTCACAGCCTCCCACTCTCTGCAGTACTTCTACACTGCAGTAACTCCAGGAATAAACTTCCCAGAGTTCACTGTGGTGGGTCTGGTGGATGGAGAGCAGATTGTGTACTATGACAGTAACTTCAGGGAGATGATCACCAAGACAGAGTGGATGAACATGAGGATGAGTAATGATGATTACTGGGATTACTGGGATAGTGAGACCCAGATTAGTCAGCATCATGAGAAGAACTTCAGAACCAGTGTGGATAATCTAATGCAGCGCTTCAACCAGAGTGAAGGTAGACACAATCGGAGCTTTCAGCACAAGAACAGCACACATACAATACAGGAAAAAATGAGAGTTTATACATGGAAAATATTTATAATTACTAACCTGCTATTGGATGATGTTGCCTCAGGGGAACGCACCTATTTTCCATTATATATTTATAATGACGTGAAACATAATTCTTGGCAATAAAAGGGTTAATAATGAGGGTTCAGATAAACTGCTAAAACTTGGTCAATATATCTTTTGTTGGCTATTTTAAAATTATTTTTCTTCTAGCAATTCATCTCAGATAAGCTAATTTTCAGAATTTTTCATCATCCATATAATTATAATTTTTTTAATAATTAAAGCTCAACAAATTGATATGACACTATTTTCTTTCCATTATATTGGCAACCCAATGTTACCTCAAACCCAAAAATAATTTGTATAATTTCATATGATTGCAATCATTAAACACAGCCTATATTCTTAATGTTTATTAGCTTAGACTGTAAAAATATCTGTCTTTTTACAGTTTATTTCTCAGTGTAATTTTAACAGAAATTTAAAAGTAGAAATCCATTTCTACATTTCACTGTACCTTCATATTTCAAACACATTGCATGCTGAGTAGTTTACTTGTCGCCCCGGCTGCAGCAGAAAGCACATCAGTTAAAGAGTGGGGTTACCCAGAATTCTTTGAGTATTTTAGTTTCTTATAATTACTCATGTGTTCGTAATTTTTATTAGTTCTCTTGATAGAAAACAATATTAAACATGTTTGTCTTTGGTTTACCATGATGGTATTTTGTACTGTATTTGCCAGGACAGCTTGACTTGCTGCACTAAAAGTAAACACCTTGTGTCTTTAAGCTTAACAGTGGCTAACTGGTTCCTCAGTGGCACCTGGCAGAGCCACAGCCAAAACCATGCTAATTGCTGGCACATTATCGATGATGTGCTCATTGATACTACTAAATTTGCAAGACCTCAGTAATGGCTAGTATTATCAGCCATTATCAGAGTTTTCTCTTTTGAGTTGAAGGAAACATACAGTATATGATTTTTTTTTACAGATAAAGCTGTAAAATTAACAGAATCTTCTGTTAGAGTGACATAATTGTCTGTTAACTTTACAGAAAATGTACTAGTGATTTTCTGACAGTACATTTTCTGTTTTCTTTACAACAAAAAAATGACAAAATGAAACGTCTGCATGGTGACGGCCCTAATGAGCGCACTGCTTTAAATAACTAGGATAATTTAGCAACGTTTTTTATGATAAACCTCAGCCTGACGGTTATTTACCTTATAATGCTACAGTAAATAACCATTTTTAGGAACTGTGTAACGTGATACGCTGAACTGACTTTTGCCTGCTTTTTTTTGCCGGTTTTATTTCCTGTATTGTGCATCAGTTTGAAGGCTGTGTGTCTGTGCAGGAGTTCACACAGTGCAGTGGATGTACGGCTGTGAACTGGATGTTGATGGAACCAAGAAAGGTTCATACATGCAGTACGGCTATGATGGAGAAGACTTCATCAGTCTGGATCTGAACACTCTCACCTGGACAGCAGCCAACGCTAAAGCTGTTATTACCAAACAGAGGTGGGACAGTGAAGCCTGGGCGGCTCAGGTGAAGAACTACCTGGAGAACACCTGCACTGAGTGGTTACTGAAGTATGTGCGTTCCAGATTCACTCTGGAGAGGAGAGGTAAAGTGCACTCACTCCCATTACTGAAAACTTGCTGCACATTTACTAATTATTAGAGACGTCCTGTTTTCCCACCTGATCCAATCAGAGTCCTTTAATATCGACCAATAGTTGTTAGATGGTTGCGGTGGTATTCCAGGTTTTTACTCTGGTGCTGCTAGGTGGTTGCTATAGCATCCCAAGTGGTAGAAAGGGTGTTGCTAGGTGGTTGCTATGGTATCCCAGGTGGTTGAATTAAGGGTGGACACACAGCCTCCCAATGTGTTCCTGCTGCTGTAGCCACGTTCTTCATTTGTCAGCCTAAACATTCTGTACATCAGCGTTTTCAGTATCATTTTAATAAGATGTAAGGAAATGTAAACATTTCCATTGCATTTTCTCAGAACATTACAGTACAATGCAATGTATTTCTCTCCAGTGTTTCCTGAAGTAGACCTGTTCCAGAAGAACTCTTCTTCTCCAGTGGTGTGTCATGCTACAGGTTTCTTCCCCAAAGCAGTGATGATCTACTGGCGGAAGAATGGAGAGGATCTGGATGAGGATGTGGAGCTCAGAGAGACGCTACCCAACCAGGATGGAACCTTCCAGAAGAGGAGTGTTCTGACTGTCTCACCTGAGGAGCTGGACAGGAATTACTTCGCCTGTATCATTCTTCACAGCAGCCTGGAGATGGAGATAGAGCTGCCGGTGTCTGAGCGCAGAATCCTTCAAGGTAGTAATCTGATTCTGGAAAACATATTTAAAAAATAATTTATTTTTTTCATATCGATTTGACTGGCGAAGTAGAAACAGGACACTGACCCAGATTTAACACACTGTGTTTCAGACGGAAGCTCAAGTTTCAGAATCATCATCATCATATTTGCGGCTGTTCTTCTGCTCTTTGCACTGTGGATGATGATGAAAGACTGCAGTAAGGAAACACTGGAATCTGATATTAGTCTGTATGGAGAGACACACTGACAGCGTAAACACACAGTACTGTGAAAAAGTGTTCATACCCTTCTGATTCCTTCTATTTTTGCATGTTTGTCACATGAAACTGTTTCATATCTGAAAATTATCTTAAGCTAATCTATATACCTTACATGTGTTGCATTATGTGTAACAATGTTTATCTGTATTGTCCCTGTCAAATAAACACATAAAATAAATAAAATAAACAAAATTGAACATAAGACAGACAACATAAGTAATAACAGAATACAGCTTTTAAATGATGGTTTCATTAATTGAAGAAACACCCACCAGCCCTGTGTGAAAAAATAATTGCCCCCTCAATTACTCAGTCATCCAGTTAGCCAAATGTGGTTGATAATTGGGATCAATAGATGGGTTTCTGTGCAACGTCATCACAGAGATGCACCCACAACTAGGGGGCAGCAAGCAACAGAAAGCAGCACTGTTCACAGCATAAAGCAACAATGACAAGGAGTTGTTGTGCAGTAAACTCAACCAAATCACAGAGAAGACGGTTGGAGAACTTTTAATATTACGCCCATCACTGCAGATGACAGATTACTGATCCAAACAGACTCAGGTTATATCACAATACCTACATTTAGAGCTGGTTATTCATTCAACCTAATGAGAAACTGTAGAACAGACTCAGTTTATATCACAATACCTACATTTAGAGTCGGTTATTCATTCAACCTAATGAGAAACTGTAGAACAGACTCAGTTTATATCACAATACCTACATTTAGAGTCGGTTATTCATTCAGCCTAATGAGAAACTGTAGAACAGACTCAGTTTATATCACAATACCTACATTTAGAGTCGGTTATTCATTCAACCTAATGAGAAACTGTAGAACAGACTCAGTTTATATCACAATACCTACATTTAGAGTCGGTTATTCATTCAACCTAATGAGAAACTGTAGAACAGACTCAGTTTATATCACAATACCTACATTTAGAGTCGGTTATTCATTCAGCCTAATGAGAAACTGTAGAACAGACTCAGTTTATATCACAATACCTACATTTAGAGTCGGTTATTCATTCAACCTAATGAGAAACTGTAGAACAGACTCAGTTTATATCACAATACCTACATTTAGAGTCGGTTATTCATTCAGCCTAATGAGAAACCCAAAATCAAAATAAGACAACAGGGCAAACTAATGTAAAGCACTCCTGACAACAAAAGCCCACGTGACCAGGAAATATCACCTCAGTGTATCAACCACAGCAGCAAGAAAGGACAAACTGCTGCAGTCACAGCAGTTCACTGGCCAGGTTGGATAGCAGATAAAATGGTGATATCTGCAGTGTAGACACAACGATGTCTGGTTCCTATTACTACAACTGTAAACAACTTTGACCTGGTAAAATTTCTCTAGAAAGACAATAACACTCTAACACTGGTCTCAGCCAACATCAGACCAACATAGTTCCATCATCTAACACTGGTCCCAGCCAACATCAGACCAATATAGTTCCATCATCTAACACTGGTCCCAGCCAACATCAGACCAATATAGTTCCATCATCTAGCACTGGTCTCAGCCAACATCAGACCAATGTAGTTCCATCACCTAACACTGGTCTCAGCCAACATCAGACCAACGTAGTTCCACCATCTAACACTGGTCCCAGCCAACATCAGACCAACGTAGTTCCAACATCTAACACTGGTCTCAGCCAACATCAGACCAACGTAATTCCACCATCTAACACTGGTCTCAGCCAACATCAGACCAACGTAGTTCCACCATCTAACACTGGTCTCAGCCAACATCAGACCAACGTAGTTCCATCATCTAACACTGGTCACCAGCCAACATCAGACCAGCGTAGTTCCACCATCTAACACTGGTCACCAGCCAATATCAGGTCAATTGATAGATAAAGATAAATTTTATTTTGAGAGTTGATGTCTTTGCCTTGGTCCTTGTGCTGTCTTCAGCACTGTAAACTAAATTATGGGTAAAAGGAAGTGATTCTCATCATGTGCGGCTGGAAACCTCAACGTTTAAAGGAAATCCACATTCTGCTGTTCATGGTATGAAGAGCTGGACGGTTCTGCTTTCTATTTTTTGGCTGAAGTCTGCAGGGAGAAACACAGCACAGGAACCTAATCATGAAATCTCTCCTTTTTCTTGCACTTACTTTTAATCTGACATCAGCAGGTGAGTTCATGCTAATTACAACATACTGTATATGTAAACCTTAAGATTTAAAGGTTAAAGTTTTTTTGGAGGCTGTAAAGTTAGATACTCAGTGGTGTAGCCCTTAACTTCCTGATTACTGCTATTGCTGTAGAGCAGACCACAAACTGGTTTAATATTCCCACAGGATTTGAACAACCAGCCCTTAACTCACAGCTAAATGTACAAGAACTAGTTCTTTAAAGCTGCACTATGTAAGATGCCTGCAGCATGTTCCAAAAAAGATCATTTTTTGAAAATTCCTTTGGGCAGACTGCGCAGAATGTGGCTTGGTGTCACGCTGAAATAATCAGGGACGTCTCTGAAAAAATGCTGCATATCACTGCTGTCAGAAACAAAACCTCGTATCTCTGAAATGAAACCTTTACAATTTTTTTCCAAAATTAACACCCTGTGTAAAGGGCAACAGGCAGTTTATGTCAAAAACTGAAAAAGATGGAGATGCAAGGTTTCAACAGCAGTGATATGTTGTTCCCAAATGTGTTCTGCATTGATGGTGCTTTAATAGATGTGCAGGTTACCTGCTAATACCCTGTATACAATGACAGACCCTGGCTTAGACTTTACGCTGGTAACAGTCTGGATGGTCTTTTTTTCTCTTTGGCCCAGAGAACACAACATCCATTATTTCCATAAACAATCTGAAATGTTGACTCATCAGACCACAATACGTGGTTCCACCAAGCATCAGTCCATTTCAGATGAGCTTGAGCCCAGAGAAGTCGGCAGTGTTTCTGTATGTTGATATATGACTTCCACTGTGCATAGTACAGTCTTAACTTGCATTTGTGGACGCAGCAACAGATGATGTTTACTAACAGTTTAATTGATATTGATAGTTAATTTATGAAAGTGTTCCTGAACTCATGTGGTAATGTCCATCACAGAAGCATGCTGGTTTTTAATGCAGTGTTTTCTGAAGGGTCAAAGGTCATGTGAATGCATTTAAGTGAAATAACTCTTTGCATCTTTGAATGTTCTTCTTAAACAGTCAGACTCTTTGCTGATGCATTTCCTGTTAAAGTAGTGAGCCTCAACCCATCCTTACTCATAAAGGACCCAGCCTTTCCAAGATGTTAAATTCATCAACATAAACAGTAAATTCGGAAAAAAATAGTAATTGATTGTGTTTTCTGTACATGATGTGAACTTTTTTACACTTAGAAAATCAACCACTGCATAGAATTTGACCAGGAGCATCCAAACATTTGCATGTGACTGTATATGTGTAACTTTACAGGCTTACAGGTTAAAAATTGAGTCAAAAGAAAACAAATAGGCTGCAAACTCAGTTGACAGGCCTTAACTGCTAATGCTTTAAAGGAGACCACAAACAGCTTTAATAGTGCAGCTATACTGGTCCTTTGAAGCCATTCATTGTTTTTGGCTTATTAGGCTTAAGGAGTTTACAGAGCCTTCAAGGAGAACTCCACCAAAATTTCTGCATAGTCCAGTGTTTGTAAACAGAGTGATTCAGAGCGGTTTGGTGTGAAATGGTTCAGATGTATTTACAGTGGTGGTGATAGGAACCAGGGGTCGCCATGACTACAACACAAATATAGACATTTTATTTACTATCCACATAAACCTACAAGTGTTTTCTGAGTTATGTGGAATGATGATGATGGTAAAATAGTAATAAATCTAAAATGATAAGTTTTATTTGGGAACTATTTTGCCTCACAACATGCTGCATGTATCCCTCCACCATGAATGGATTTTAAGGCCAAAAAACTTCTCAGTGTCTCAGGCATTGGGTGGTGAATTCATAACCATTTCATGTAGTAACTTTCTGAGAGGGAGCTTTTAGAGGTGGACGTCTGGTTCCTATGCTTGGTCTGGTCATGTGGAGGCTGATGGCACAGGTGTGACCACTGGAACAGCCCTCTCCTCTTCCTGCAGTGCTGCAACAGCCCTTAAGTAACTGGAGCGCCCCCTTCTGTATCCAATCAGACCCTCCAGACACCAATCCTAGAGGAAAAGAGATTACAAAACAAAAAAACACCATACACCCCCAGGATCGTAACACTATAAGTTTCTCTAGAACAGAACGTTTCACACCAAACCACTCTGAATGACTCTGTTTACATCTCAATGGTTTAATTATATAGAACTTTTGAAAAGTCGGCGGATTTCCCCAATTCTGGCCTGAATGATCAACAAAAACCTCTGAAGACTTAGAACATATCAGTTTCTATTCGCATACATGATTATTGTGATTGTAACAAATTGTATGATTTTTCCTCAGAAAAATTTCAGTCATTCATTGTTTTCATTTTCATTTTTATAGCCACTTACTCTCTGCAGTACTTCTACACTGCAGTAACTCCAGGAATAAACTTCCCAGAGTTCTCTGTGGTGGGTCTGGTGGATGGACAGCAGATTGTGTACTATGACAGTAACATCAGGAAGATGATCACCAAGACAGAGTGGATAAAGAAGAGCGATGCTAAGGATCCAGATTACTGGAACAGAGAGACCCAGATTAGTCAGCATCATCAGGAGACCTTCAGAACCAGTGTGGATACTCTAATGCAGCACTTCAACAAGACTATAGGTAATTACAGATCTATTGACATTTTATAATGCAGCACAAAAGTTTAATTTTCCTTTTGTTCATAAAAAATAAACACTATAGCCCCATCATACGGCCACATTTAAGGATTATATCTGGTGCCATATTGCAGAAACATCCTATATTTGATCCCAAGTTAAAATCTGACAGAGAAAAATTTTTCATAATTTTGTATTACAGAAGGAAATCCTGTCTTAAGGACAGGATTTAGGAGGTTTAGTCTAGTTAGGATGTTTGTGTGATGCTGTTTTCTGATCTGGAGTTAACCTCTTATTCTCCAGGGTATATTTTGGTTTGTCTATCTGAATTAACATGACCAAATCGTAAGGCAAATTATTCAGCAAGTGCATGAAATAAATTTTTATTTTATGTATTTATTTTGTAAAAGCTCCCCTCAAATTAATAGAACATGTGTTTTATGATACATATTGCTATATGCTTACAATTTACTGCTGAAAGCCAAAAATCTTAGACGCTCTTTGTATTATTTTATAAAAATAATTTTTACAGATCAGATCACTGAAGAGACGCCACCTGTTTATAGTTTATAGCCCGGATTTGTGGAAAAATGGGTCGACTTTCAGTAGAAAAAAATTGTGACTTCAGCTTCTTTTATTATAAGGGTTTAAAATTACATCACCCATCTATTTGACTGGACAGAAGACAGTTACAGCTCTCATACGACCCAACCTTTAGAATGTAGATTATGAAATATGAAAGTTATGAAGAATATGACAAAGTGTATTTTGAGTTTTAGAAGTTAATGATGAGATTATGAAGTTAGGAACTGTTATTCTGTAATAGCTACTGTCCTGAATTCAGTCCGAACTGAAGTCGTCATGGAGACTAAACAGATAAGATTTAGGATGTTTCTGTAACACAGCCCAAGGAGTAAAACCAGGCCCATGCTCAGACAGTTTGTCACTCAGAGTTTCCAAAGGGCAACATGAATAAAACTGTTCAACTGTCAAGCTGTTCACTGAAAACCTGAAACTGCCCTTTGACCCAAATAACGTCAGACCAGCTGTGAAGCATGGTAGTGGTAGTGTTGTGGTTTGGGGCTGCTTTTCTGCCTCTGGGCCTCCTCACACTGTCATTATAGATTGAGCCATGAATTTCACACTGGACCAGAGAGACGTGTCTCATATCCTATCATTATTATTACTGGATGCACTGTGAGCACACAGTTGTTACACAAAATTAAAATTGCTAAGTGCTCATTATTGATTAACTACAGCAACTATAAAAGGCCACTTAAGTGTGAATTCTATTCCTAGTCATGTGTTTTAAAGTGTGGTTTGTTAATTAGCATTTAAATATCAAATAAACACAGCAACAGCATTCAGAAATGACATTATTAACAGAGGAAAGTAAAGTAAAGCAGAAATACTTTTTTGTTTCTACATTATTGTTAATCTACTCAAAGTGATTTCTGGTGACACCTGCTGTTGAACTGTTAGAATTACTTACTTTTTCTATTTTTCTTCAATTATTTTTAAATAAATTAATAAATAATTAAATATTAAGACTAAATGTCAAAATACACAGATTTTCATGGGAGGTACTTACTCTTTCACAGCTCTATAGTGATTCCAGTGACTGACACTGAATGTGCCTTGAAGCACGTCAAGGAAATAGAAAAATGGCATCTGTTTGTATTATTTTGCATCAGTTTATAATGCAGATGAATGAGGTTCACTGTTTCAGTAGATCACATGCTTTAATTTGTTTTATTATGCTCCAGCATTACATTCCTGTGTTTCTCTGCAGGAGTTCACACAGTGCAGTGGATGTACGGCTGTGAACTGGATGATTATGGGACTAGAGGATATAATCAGTACGGTTATGATGGAGAAGACTTCATCAGTCTGGATCTGAACACTCTCACCTGGACTGCAGCTCGTCATAAAGCTGTTATTACCAAACAGAAGTGGGAGAGTGTAAACTGGGCTGCTCAGGTGAAGACCTACCTGGAGAACACCTGTATTGAGTGGTTACAGAAGTATGTGGAATATGGCAGATCCACTCTGGAGAGGAAAGGTACAGTGATCTGAAAACCTGCTGATCATTTACTCACTGATTACTCCTCACTACATCTCACCGATGCCTCTCGTTACTCTCCCTCAGTAACGTAATACAGCAGACCCTCTGATTTCTGTAGAGGGTAATAAAACATTATCATGTTTTGATATTTTTTGTGCCACCAATGGTCATATGGATCTTAATCAGCCACTGTATAATATGTACAAGTGTTATGTTATGGCGTATTATTTAGTATCTATAATAGATTGTTCAGCACGTACTATGAATTATTCTGCATCTACTATGAATTATTCAGTAGTCACTATGAATTATTTAGTATCTACTTTAAATTATTCAGTATTTATTATTAACTAATCAACTACATGTCATTTCTCTCTCTCTCTCTCTCTCTCTCTCTCTCTCTCTCTCTCTCTCTCCAGTTCCTCCTGAGGTGTCTCTGGTCCAGAAGGACTGTGGAGCTCAGAGAGACGCTACCCAACCAGGATGGAACCTTCCAGAAGAGGAGCGTTCTGACTGTCTCACCTGAGGAGCTGAACAGGGACAAGTACTCTTGCATCATTCTTCACAGCGGTCTGGAGAAGGAGATGGTGCTACAGGTGTCTGACCGCAGAATCCTGTCAGGTAGGAGAATCTGATTCCAAGGTGGCAGTAAACCCCTCTGTACTCTCAGACTCGTTTGGTTGGTGAAGCAGCTGAAGGAGACTGACAGACTGGTGTTTCAGACAGAGGCTCACATGGAGGCTTGTTTGGTGTCGTCATCAGTGCAGTCCTGGCTGTTCTCCTCCTCTTTTCACTGTGGAAGATGATGAAGGAGTCCGGTAAGGAAAAGGAAGCTGCACACAACTTTCTTACAGGGAGACACACAGAGGTCAGACGTACGTGCGGCTGCAGTTTGAGGGCAGGCTGCACCGAGGATGACAGACCGCACGCTGGTGAGGTGCAGGGTTGAAAATGAACACTGAAATCAGACATAAAGACATTCAGGGCAAAAGAGAAGAGTTCAGTGATAAGGAGACAGTGATGTTAGGGGCTGCTCAGATAACACCTTTCTACACTGACCTGTCAGCAGGTCTCCTTGTGGCGATTCCTCCAGTGGAATGGAAACCAACCCATCAGATATTATTATTGATATAATCACATAAAATGGTTTAATTCCAAACTGTCTTAAAATATTTGAACTTTTTCAATGTAAATCAAATAAGTAAAACTCAGGGCTGGACTGGGGGCCTCCAAAACAGGCTGACATTGAAAGTTGGTGTTAAATGAGAGGCACAAAGAGTCTCATGAATCTCGTACATATCTAAAACATAGATAGCTAGCACAGCTGAGTAACCCCCCCAAAAGGCCAGGGACCGCCAGCAGGCCCAAGTTTTATTACTCACTTCTATAACCTGAGGCTATAACCTACAGTTCAGCGGTGAATAGGCAGGCACAGGTGCTTGGTACAGTCAAGGATCGCCCTTGAGATCCCTTTATTTTCTTTGTCTACATCGTGCGACACGTCCACATGTCTGTCAGTTGTTTCCGGTCCAGTCTGGATTTTGGAGGCGAGGCCCACTTGGCGTGTTGGAGTTTGAGTTGGATCTTGACACAAACCAGGTAGTGGTCTGAACTGCATTCAGGCCCTCTCATGGTCTGGACATCCTTCAGCGTCAAGCAGACTCAGGTGTTGATCAGGATGTAATCCAGTACAGCGGAATCCTTGCTAGATGGATTTCACCAGGTTAGTTGCTGTTTTGTCGGGTGTTAGAAGTAGTTGAAGTACCTAGAAGTAGGTGTTCCCGACAATCAAACTGTTTGAGGCAGTGAAGGATAGGAGGCGCAGTCCAAATTTATCCATGGTCGTCTCCCAGCCAGTAGGTCGTCTCCCATAGTGCTGGCGCATCGGCTGCCCCAGTTGTGGTAACATTTGTTGCAATCAATTTTAATTCAGAATTCATACGGTTGCTTGGCTAGTTTCCCCAATTTGCTGGTTCTGATCACCTCGCCAGAGTGACCACCTTCTTCCTTGCGTAGCCGTAGCCTTAGGACCGGCCTTGGTGGAGTTAAGTCAGGCCCAGTGTATTGTACCAAAGAAGTTCATTTTTAGGTTGGAACAGTTTTTAGGTTGGAACAGTTAAATGAGAGGTTCCAAAAAATCAGTTATTTTAGCCACATTAGCCTTTTTACCACAAATAGCTCAATTTGTTTTTTACGCCACATTTTGGTTAACTGGTCCATAATTAGTCAAAGTTTAGCTTAAACAACTTACTTCTATTCCCTCCTAATATTGGCCGTTATTATATCAATGTGTTCAAAGTTAGAGTTGAAAACACATCGACTTTTACCTGACTTCAGACTTAAACCCCTTACCTTATACCTTAATTATGTTTATTTAATGTAAACTAATGATTGAATTTATCATTTTGTCACTAACAAAACAAGCATAACACTACCAAAACTTTACCATATGTTTCAGCAGAACTAAAATACGCAGCCAGGACATGACTAACAAACACAGCTCTGGACAGCTGTAATGCTCCATCTATACAAATACTATATTTCATTTCAGTCACTTCTAGTAGCGTTATCAGCACAGAGTTCCTAACCCCGCCTCCCTCTCTCTCCTCCAGAACCTTCAGACGAGTCTGTGTTAACCAAGGTCATCTTCTCTCCAGTGGATTATGAGTCTGCAGGTCAGTTTGAGAGCTGAGACTGTATGAATGGCAGGACATCTTTCACCTGTGAATCACTGTTGTTTTTATATTTGTCTTTACAGAAATGAAGTAGAGAAGAGGAGAAGATGAAGAACTCAGATCAGATGATTTTTAATGACATCTTCACAGCAATCAGTATTGCAGTGTTGGGTTTAGAATAAAAGCTGCATTTCTGAATGTACACCTGATTCTACTGTAAAGTACAGGAAAAAGATTATCTACCACAGGCTTGAACAGAACATAGAAGTGAATTCAGTTTTGGGTTCAAATGGGCTAATTGGTCTTGAACAGTAAAATAGCCAAGTTACTTACCAAAGTTCTTTTAGTAACAGTACTGAGACTGTGTACTGTACAGAGAGGCCAATAGAGGGTGCCAGAAAACAGATGGAGAAGGTCAAACTATATACAGTAGAACTGAACACCTGAACACATTGATACAGGGAGATTCACTCGAAAGTGGCCCCGAATATTCTGTAATAACTCACTCTAGGACGAAGCAATCTGAACGAAACTACATGCACTGTGCTCCTCAGTATATGGAGCTTCCAACAAGCCGGGATGCTCCTGTGTCAGAACGATGAGGTAAGCGCCGGACACCCGTCGCAATGTTTAACCTCCGTTTGCAACTTCCAGGTGCATACCCCCCGTACCCCTTCATGTGTCTGGCAGAAAACAGAGATCACTTCCAGCATCACATGTAATGTAATCGATTACACATACGTCAAGGTATGTGGCGGATTTTTCGGTTCAGATGGCTTCATCCTAACGGGAGTTACAACAGAATATTCAGGGCCTCTTTCGAGTGAATCTCCCTGTATATTATCCAGTGGTGAACTGTCAGAGCTGTCAACTGTATAAGAGCTGGGCCTTCGGTTCAGGCCATAAAGGTCAAAAATCAGTGAGGACATGAGAAATATATGGATCACATATATACTGTCCGTCTGACACGTCTGATACAAACATACAAAGACTTTTTAAAGCAAAAAAATCAAAGTGAAATGAAAAACCTTCTAAACATCAAGCTAGTATATATGAGCAATACAGGCCGTCCATATATGATTGAAGTTTTCTATCAAATATTATTAAATATATCAGTTACACATACTGTATGTTTGTAAATGTTGATCTTTGACCAGAAATAAATTTTCCATATTCCAAAATGGCTCATTTCAAATAAGTTGGCATATATGACACATATACAATATGTCCAAATATGACTAACATAAGCTGGATATAAGGGAGATCCATATATGCTAATGTATGTCATATATCAGAAACCCATATACGGCCATATATCAGCTGCTACTACTAGCAGATACTGAACACCTGCAGAGGCTTTGAGGGAAGCGTGTGATGATGTAGACGTTCAGTTAGCCGTGACTTTGTCTTTCATTGTAATGAGGCCGTGAGGAGAAAACGAGGTTAAACCTGCAGCTCTTTGCTCAGTTTTTAACCACAAACTGTCTTGTGGAACTTTCAGTGGTGACGATTCTCATGACAGCACTGTACTCATAAAACAGCTACTGGCTCTCAGATTTTCAGACACTATAGTTAAATATAATAGTTAATCTTTTTGTGCTTCATTCCTGGAACATTTTACCCCATAAATTTTCAAAAACCTGAAAACCAGTTTGAAATCAGGCAGGTGGTGCAGGTTAGAAGACAAGAACATGTATTTATTAACACGCTGACTCTGATTTAATTGTTGTAGCTAACAGCTTTCAGAAGGTATTCAGTTTATTAGGAGGCCCACATGATCAAACAAGGCCATGTACCAAAAGAGGAATTCCAGTATTTTTTTAAATTCCACATAATTAAATATGTAAGATGTAAACAAAGCCGTTCAGAGTGGTTTGGTGTGAAACGCTCAGTTCTGGAGGAACTTACAGAGTCACATTGTTCACAGTGGTGGTGATAGGAACCAGACGTCCACCTCTAAAAGCTCCCTCACAGAAAGTTACTACAGTAAATAGTTATGAATTCACTGCCTGATGACTGAGACACTGTTTTACAGTACTCTCTAATACTGGATGGATACATGCAGGGTGTTGTGAGGCAAAATAGACCCCATTGAAAACTTATTATTTCAGATTTTCCACTATTTTCCATCATCAACATTCCATATAAACTCAGAAGACTCGTGTAGGTTCACTGGTGGTTCTGGATAGTAAATAAAATGTCTATATTTGTGTTGTAGTCATGACGACCCCTGGTTCCTATCACCACCACTGTAACGACATCGAGTACAAGTCAAGACCAAGAGTTTTAGTAGTCAAGCCTGAGTCAAGACTGAGATCAGAAATGGCCAAGACCAAGACAAGACCGAGACCAGATTAAGATTTTTTTCAGAAAAAAATACTAAAAATGAAATTTGTACATTTAGCATCATTACTTATATATACTATTATATACTGTTATATACTATTATATTATATAATGTAAAATCTAACATGAACTATATAGCTTATAATGTTATCAGATTGTCTGTTATGTGTTACACATAAAATAGGAAAAAACAGCTAAAAATACAGCAGAAAATAGATTAACTACAATTAATGATGTTCTACCAAGAGATCTGTAAACAATGTGATATGAACAGTAAACTACAGCTCTGTTACATTATTCTTTTGAATAATAGTCACATGAACAAATGCATGCTCACAAATTGTGTGATCACCTGTGAGAAAAACATAATCAAAAGCCAAAAACTGCAGTCATGTGAAAAAAAATGTAATCATGTGGAAAAATATGTGATCATATATTAAAAAATTGTAATTATGTGAAAAAGCCATTCCATGTGTAAAAAGGTGATCATGTGGAGAAAACCGTATGATCACATATGAATA